ACACACACACACACACACACACACACACACACACACACACACACACACACACACACACACACACACACACACACACACACACCAGAGTGTACCGCCATGCAACTGTACAGCCCGGGAATGAGGACTGGAATGAAAAATACCCAAAACAATGAAGTGCATGCCCCGCTGAGATCATAAATAAAACGCGGGCTGACACATGTGATTGGGTAAGAATAATGTGCAACTGTAGTAACAGCGTCACAGTGAAGTGCACAGCTGTGGGAACTAACTGGGTGTACAGTAGATTTGTCAGCCTGCTGTGCTGCTTCATCACTCTGCTCAGTCACTGGGTTCAAAACACACTGGCCACAAACAACAATGAGTACTGGCTATTTAACATGACTGTAAACACAGCTCTTCTGTCAAAATATTGGGATATAAAGTGTATTTTCTACAACCACATATATCAAAACATCTGTTTTTGTTATCGTCACATGGACAGCAGTCATCTTTAGACAGTCATACTTGAATTTTCACTTGATTAATCAACAAGTTTTCAATTTCTCGTTTCTAAAAAGTAAAAAAAAGGTTCTTCACATTAAGATACATGTTTGCATGACAACAATACTATAGAAACACATTTTTCTGACCACATTTCCCCACAATTCTTGCCTTAGGAAGGAAGTACTGTGTCAGTCTGACTAAAATCCCACAATAAAAATTGTTATCGCATCCACTCATAAAGACAAGCATACACTAAGGATAACCTTATACCATGGCATCATTTGCTGGAGGGCAACTTATAATTGTTAGTGGCCATACTTTTAGAGGAAAATATCATTTTGTCTTAATTCCAGGTTTGCTCAGAATGCCATAGTTAAACAAAGAGTGAGCTCTACATTGGGTATTGTGCTGAACCATGAGCTGAATGTATTTGTTTACCCATAGCATGCCAACAGAAACAATATGCATTTATATTGCGGTTCTCTCTGTTTTTCCTGAACCATTTCAGTTGAAATATGTCCCCAAGTTTCCTAAAATAAAGTTGCTTGTATTCCATTGTTACGACTCATTCTCCACACCAACGATCCCTCAATGAAATGCCACAGGCTCCGAAACTATGACTCACTATCACTTTTTTTCATGGCATTAATGACAAGTTCAGATTTTTATTTGTGTGTGAATGCATACCTTTGGGTTCAAATGTCTATTTCTAAAAAGGATGTGGTGCAGATCAGATTCAAGAGAATAACTAATGCATTAAACTTCAGATCTGTGTCAGTGGAGAAAATATGAAAATCAGGATACGGGAACTGCAGCATGAATGTGAATCCCCAACACACGCAAAGCCTTTTCTTCTTTCTTCCCTTTCTATTTGGGGTATCACAGAGGGGTTTTCAATGCGAGGCATTTTGTTCCGCCGGACACACAAAGCGCTCCCTGTTCGCAGTCTCTTAGCAGCCACTTCACACGCAGCACAAGGTGGAAGCCCCGCAAGCGACTCTATTTAACCATCAGCCCTTCCGCCTCAATACTGCGCAGAGACCCCGGCTTTTGAAAGGGAATGACAGCAGGGTAGGTTATGCAGAAACAAATACCTGTCAACACACACACACACACACACACAAATACTTGAGCATCTGTTACTGCGCACACAGACACAATCAAACATATTTTATAATGTTGCCATACTGCAGCCTGACCCTGCCATCCACTGAATATCAATAAGTGTTTAGGTAAATATACGACTTTAATTAACATATCCAAACACATCTGAAATGACTAAATGTCAAAAATAAAGTTTAACCAGTTGCAGAAAACATGGAACCAGTTGGACATCTCAGTACTACAAATTGGCATCATTGGGTTCTATAAAAAAAAAGTTTTGAGTACATTTGTAAATAGTTCACATTTAAATTGCTGAAGAATGGAATCATTGGTTGCAGCATTACAGGTGTTTGAATGCAGTTTGTTTTTAACTCTGCAGTTGAGGAAGTGAGTTTAAAGGTGGGGTAGGTAATTTTGGAGAAACCAGCTCGAGTGCGCTAGGATTTGAAAATACACAGCCGGAAGAAATCTGCCACTTCCTTACAGAGCCCCTCCTCCAACACACACGAACGTGCACATGACCAATGAGGGCACGAGATAAGTTTGTGCACAGATGGAAGGCTGACAGGCAGGTAGGCCATCTAGTTATTTTAGCCGGGCCGGCTAAAATGAATTGTCGTGCTTTTTACAGCACTACGGCTTCCACAGATGACATTTTTTTATGGATTTGTTGTCAAAGCACTTCAGATATTCATTGCTATCGGGATGTTAAGAGCATTCCATGGAATATAACAAAAAGTGTATCTCGAACCGGTTTCTCAAACTTACCTACCCCACCTTTAATTGCTAAAGATTCNTTTCAGAATCTCTTTACGCAGAGGGGACACATGTTGATGTATAAAAGACAAGAAAAAGTGGATTTTGCATAATAGGTGACCTTTAAGGCATTATGTGTTTTGAAGTTTTGAAAGCCTTCATATTTGTAGGGAAATGTTGATCAAATAGGAAAAGGCTGAAGGAGTAGGGTGTTTTTCTTGAGGCTATACAGATTATCTGGAAGATAATGTTTTCACTTTTCGGACCTAAAACAAGAAGGAACACTTTTTTCACTGACCCATCATCAGTAAATGTGACTCATCATGACACAAACTAGTCCATATTCACCATGGTTACGCAAACATGGATATAAAAATAGCAGAGGAAGAATGGAATTTCCCATGCACAAGGCAAGAGCTGGTGATGAGTACTTGAGACAGTAGTCAACCAATGTAAGCTCCGCCTGGGGTTAAATGCAATGGCTTCTTACTTCTGATCTCAGAGACCAAGTCTAACTGCCTCTCAGACTTGGCCCAGGGGGGTTGTCATGGAGACCAAGGCAGGCAGTGACCTTGGCATAGGCTGAATGACATTTGTCAGATATTGACTCCAAACCTGAAGGAGTGTAAATATGCCTTTTTGGTTTCTCTCTCTTGCCTTTCTTTGCTTGTCATCATCCATCTCCCATTTCCTTCATCCTTCCCTCCGATTGCCCGGATTTCTCTGCTCTCTCTCTCTCCCTCTCTCAAACCCTTAAGTACAAGTCCTCTTTCCTTCCATTAGGCTGACCTTCAGTGAAATCTGAACGAATTTCTGGCGCTCCTAGCAAAGCTCTGACAGAGGAAAAACACAGATAGCATCCCTGGGAAAGAAGTGTAAAAAGGAACTTCCATTCCATCACACATCACTCCCTAACATTATTAAGAATGTACACTACATTACAGACTGTGTTATACATGTTCCCGGTTCAGTGAATGCCTCACACTTCTAATCTACGACATGCCACCTGACCGGAGCTCTCTGTTTGATTTGTCTGAGCTCTTAATGCCTTCATTGGATGAGCGGCTGGATTTACCTGCACATGGCAGAACCCTCAAGCCATGGCAAGAAAAAAGGTTGGGAAAAGAAAACATTGTTGTTTAAAGCAACATATTTTGATACACATAAGTTAGATATGACCTTATATATTGATGTGCAACACTGATTTTTTATCGAAAATAAATGAATGAATGATGATTTTCTGGAGAAAGAGGTAATTACATGAAAACCAGACAGAAATATCTGAATTTGATAGACTGATAAATCAAAACAGGTCATCACATGAACGCAAACATTCTGTAAAGATTAAATATTGTCCTTTGATTTGAAACATATCAAACCAAGGGCTAAACAACTAATATCAGAGAGATAGCTATCAATGTCTTCAGAGTAAAGCAAGATCTCCTCAGCTGATAAATGATGCATTTATATTTGCCAGGGTATATATGTATACCATTACATATACTGCTTCAAAAAGCACTTTTGTATTGGTTCGAATCATTGTATTTTGGTTAAATTGTTGTTGATATTTTTCTGTCAAATAACATTATATAAGTATATGGGGATACATGTTACTAATATGACTGCAGGCTTCAAGACAGACCTATAATGATGTCCTTATGTGTGTTAGGGCTGCTATGTAATCAGTATCGCAGACCAATACATGCCAGTTAAAGAGATTGTGGTACATAATGTGTTTTGTGGCTCAGAAGAGGAAAATAGCATAAAAGAAAGAAAAACAGACCAGCAGTCATTTAGCCAAACACACAGCCAGTCAGACACTTGTGCAAGACTGATACCAAATACTGAGTAATAAAAAGGAACCATGGGTTCTAAAGAAGTCTATGTACTGTGTTTGAAAATAGAGTCTGTTTGAAAGTGAAAAGGAGAAGCGGGGAGTGTGGGGTACCATTCTTCACAGCTGTACGGTCTGTGGTGTGTGTGTGAATCTGTGTGTGTGTGTTTCTGACCTGGGAGATGTGGTTGATGGAGGACTCCATGCGCCGCAGCTGCGAGGCCTGGATGTCCAGCAGCTGCAGCACATTGTTGGCTAAGGCATTGATCTGGTAGGCCACGCTGGCCAGGGACTGGGTGGTGTAGGCTTTGGTCTCTTCCAGAGCTTTCCTCTTGTCCTGGGCCTGTGCATGAAAAGAGATTAGAGAGAAAAAAAAAATGGATGAAAAAAAGATGTAAGAGGAACCCAGTTACTGTTAATATCAGATAACATTCTAGCCCCGTATCCAGGTCAGGTTTGTGGTGGATTCAGGCCAATAGAGCGTCCTTTTCCCACCCCAGCTGTAATTCCCCAGACACCATGCTCTCTATGGGAGGATTTGAGATGATGTAACCCATCCTGCAGCAGCCATATTGGAGGCTCTGAGAACAGAGTACACAAAACTGACTACATATCCGAACTCGAAAGGGCTTGAGATAATTAAATGTACTTGGCCTATCTCTATTTTTTTTTTGCTTTCATTCATTTCTAATGAGGAGGTATCCTTTTGGAGGTTAAACGGTTGCCTACATTTTATTTTACTGGAGGTAAACTAAACCGTTCATTGTTTTAACACTCGGTTTGCCTGGTCACAAATGGCAATTGCTTACACTTAACTGCATTATCAACAGAAACTGTATTTACCCATATTGAGGCAAAAATATTTTTGCACATATTGGAAATGGATTATCCTTTACCGGAGTTTTAAAATGTCCAGCAATCGCTGTAATCAGCTATTATTAAAAGTTCAGCTAACATTTATTCATAATGTTTGATATACACGTAAGTTGTTAATTAATTAGCTTGCAGCCTAAATATGCACCCATATTTCTTGTTTAACTAGGCAGCTAACTAGGTACAAAGTTCATTTCAGATTCAAATACAAATTGCTTAGATACAATTGTATTCTTTATACATTTAGAGAGTTCTCCACCTTTCAAGCCTACAGACCATGAAGTTTTGATACAAAATATTTCCACAGTGTATTCCTCAAATGTATACAATAGAATCTCATTGGCATCAGAAGATGCAAGCGGCCACTAAAATGAATTACCCTGCTGGCAAGTTAGCCTGCTCACAAGGCCAACAAATAAAGAAGAGTGGTTGTTTAAGTTAACTGAGCTGACAGCACAAAATAAAACTACAAACTAATCATGCTTTCCACTTGTACGTGGAATATGGAAATTGGAGCAGGCCCAACAAAACCTTCTGTCCGGGTTAAACTTGTTAGCCATTGTTAGCAATATTTGACGAGAACTATTCTGTGCATACAAATGCTACAACAACTTGTCCTCAGATAGAAGTTGGACAGTGCTGTATGTATGACTGTTTTAATGAGACTAATAAGACAGAGGTGCCAAAAAAGATTACATTACAACGGTTTTCACTAAGGTGCAGCATGGAGCAACCATCTCTATTTTTAAGTAAGGATTGTCAGTGGAAATGACTGTTTGGGAACTCGGAAATTCTGACAACCCAGTTCAACATTGATGGCACCATAGGGCTACAGATAGTTTTCCACAGTTTCATTCTCCTTTCAAATGATTCCAAACAGAGAATAACAATGACGGTTACAGAGAGGCAAAAAGTGGCTTAACCAGAAAAACAGTGGTTTCTGAGGAATCACCTCACATCAAACAGCCTGGGGCAAAGAGCTGAGCTCCAAACTGAGCCATCCTGTTTGATCTCTGCAGGCTCATCACGACGCTGCCGCTCATAAAGCGGAGTCCAAAGAGCGCTGCCTGGAGGGGGGACACCGGACTTTGATAATAAGCTTCCGTAGCAGGGGGTAGGTGGTGGTGGAAGCCATGATTACTGGTTGCAGTGGGAAGGGGGCAAAACAGAAGAAAAGGGAACATTTGGTCATAGGAACAACCATGTAACTGCGTGTCTCATTACTGATTCCACTATGGCAGCGCAAAACTAATCCTGAAGCAATCCAAAGGGCTAAAAGCTCGTGACCTGGAGAGCTGCTGGCTGGGTGGATGCAGGAGATGACTGTGTTAGTTGTGTTTCCTTTAGTGGGAATCAGAGCGGCAGATGTGTTGAGTGATAACAGCCTCAGAAAGGAGGAGAGATTCCTCCAGAGGGTTCAAAGCATAAGGCCATCTGTTGAAAACACATTCATTCATGTGCACAAAGACACCTACTACTGACACTGCAATATGCAGTGTGGTAAATGAAGCTGCAGCGGCATGAACACATATTAAAAAAAAAAAAAAAAATGCAGAGGATGCAGTTTTTACTTTATAGGGACATTTCTAACAGATTACTGGACAACATATGCTCGCCTGTGCAGGACTGATGGCCTACATATAAAGCTGCAAGTTAGAGATCAGGGGTCTTTATAAGGTTTTACTTGAAATATACATTTATAAAAGTCTGTGTTACAAGTTTCAAGATGTCAGGGCAGGGAGGGTTCCCTGAATACATGCATTCTGGGAAATGATGCTGGGTATCTTGGCATCTGCAGCTTCCTTTATAACCACTCATTTTTTAGCAATTTCTAAAAAAAGCACCTTTATTCGAATCAAAGGACAATACTACAAAGCTAGTGTACCCCTAACTTAGTTTGTCAATATATTTCAGCTGCATAGACAAACAGCAGCAGTGACAATGCAGTTACCCAACAAAAAACTGTATAAGAAATAAGTATATATATATATATTTAGAAAGTCTTAATGTAAACATGCTGCTATTTGCTAGGATTTGGAATGCAGATTGTAACATTATAGGAAACTGCTTGATTTACTTGGTTTTAATATCTTACAGCTCGACGTCTAAAGAGAGACATTCCTGTCCTGCATTTGTTGCAAACATTCAATTGAGGTATGCTTCCACACAATATTTAGTCAATGTTTTTCAATAGCTACAATAGTACCTTTTAGAGATGTGTCCAATCCTCTGTCATTACTCATGCATTCTGTGTGAATGCTTGTTTCATTCCCCAAGTAACAGATTTCTTTCAATTTGAATCACAAGGACAGGGCTTCCTATAAGTGAAAGGAAAATGTGTCTGTTCTGCAACAGCTAGACCACAATGAACCAACTTATTGTCTTATAAGATGACACAGCACAAGATGAATATCCGTTTCAAATCATAAGCTGTTTACTGGGCACCAAAGAGACCATTAAGAGTCATCCCCTCTACTTTAATTTCCCCAGTGACACAGTGATTACAGCCACAATGAAATCAGATGAATTGGACAAGAAAGCTGATACGCTGAATGGTAAGGGTTGACCGAGGTTATGCCTTTCTTTCATGGTTTACATGAGGTTGAATCTTAAGCCTTGCGTTAATCATACTGTAACTGCAATTCTCCAAATCCAGAGCTCAGTCAACACGATCAGTTGCACCAAGGATCTTTTTCTTAAAAAGGAGGATTAAATTAAACTGAGACAACATGTCAGAAAATGGGTAAACGGTGAAATCAGCTTCTTGTCATTTTTCTCAAAGTGCCTCCCTTCGACTGGGTAACGCATCGGAAGACAGCTCTCCGTATTTCCTTCAAAAAATGGATTTGTTGTTCAATTACCCAATAATTGTGACTCCCTGTGACATATGGTATCAACGGATAAGGACTACAATAGATAAACAGAGCTTATCACCAGAAGAGGAACAAAAGGTGTGTTTTTGCCTCGTACAAAAAGGTAAATAACAGCACCCGAGAGCCGAGTGCTACACAAAGCAGGAGATGCAGAGAATGAGGTGAGCTCCTGGTAGGGCTGCACGATTTTGGGAAAAAATCTAATTGCGATTTTCAGACAAATATTGCGATTTGATTTGCGATATTTGTTTTTAAGCGACCCAACAGAAGTTTATTGTAAAATGCGGCCATATCTCCGGCTAGGAGATATGGCCGCACCCCCGCTGCCTGAGCTACGAGTGAAAGAACTAAACTTACATGAAACTTCCGTTGGGTTGCTTTAAAGTCAAGCTTCAGTTTAAGATTCACCCTGTAATAGAAACATGTGATGGAGCATTACTAACCTGACTCAGATGGTTTGATTAACCAAACCATCTAGGAAAGCTCCATTGGAAGCCATTTGGAAAGGGCAGGCACTTTCAAAAAGACTTGGCAGGTGATTGGATTAATCTGTCTATCACCTTCTATCATGGGCCACTTCTGAATGGTTAACAATGGCTGGTACATGTGGAGCACAGCACTTCTGATTGGTGTGGATGACTGACACACAAGAAAAAAAGAAAAAAAAAGTTTAAAAAAAATCGCAGGCTTTGCGATTTGATAATCGCATCATTTAAAATCGCGATTTCCATTTAAAATCGATCAATCGTTCAGCCCTAGCTCCTGGGGCGCTTTATCTCATATTTCTGAGCTGAGTAATGACTGAAAGAGATTGCAGAGTATCCAGGCAGTAGTAGACAGGCTGTCAGCACCTCAACTGGGTTTAAAAAGGGAGTACAGAGGAATGCACTGTCCTTGCACACACACACAAATTGTAGCTAGGAGTTGAGGCAAGCTAGATAATCTAGAAGCCGCTTGAAAACAGCTTCAGAGTCACAGTAGCAATCTTAAATGTTATTTGGAAGCAAAAAGGGAGTGGCAGTGGATTAGTTTCATGGGAAATGTTTGAGGCGGTGAACTGGAAAAATTCCTCCAACTTCGACACCCATCCAGTCTGGCAAGATAACGGCTATAAGCTGTCACTGAAGTCAAAGGATGCTTCGTTTTAAACAAGGTGGTGCTTCCAGGGAGGAAAGGATTCAGATTTCCAAACTGTTCAGGGGTGAGAGGAGGTGTAGCTGCCCCTCCACCCAGAAGCAGAAATACGAAATGGACAAAATGAGTATTTCTCCGAACATGACTAATAAAAGATCTGAGGATGGGGAAGCGATACCAAATTGTCTAAATCGAAACACATGTGGGTTTTTCACTGGATCATGCCCTCTAAAGTTTTGGAACATCGCAAAAATATTACACAGGGATGAAAATAAAGAGTTACAATAACATGCTACATCTGTTTGTACGGCACCAAGTATGACAACTCTATACCGTGCAATACGCCCCTGGATTTGTACAGCTGACAGGCACATTTGTGTTTATGTGCTCCCACTTGGCCGGAGGGGAAATGCACTCGAACTAAAAAAAAACGTTCAGGAATGTTTGGAATCCTGCAACATGT